TCTGCACAGCAGGAATCCCCAAAAACTGCAGTTCCTCTTCACACCACTGTTGCCTCGGCAACAAGGCCCAAGCAAAATGTCAAACCCTCCTCAGAGATGCGTTCTTTGCACAGTTCTTCTGTTTCTGTAGTGAGCAACTCTTCACCAACACACTGATTCAGAGTACAACCCAAAGGTGGCGCACAACTATCCAGTGCTGCTATAATCACAGCAAATCAGCAACTGGAGAAAAACTCAATTTAAATCTCTCCCCCAAAGGGTTACAAAATAAAACGGCTGAATGTCTATATGGTCAGGAATGCCGAAACATGTTAATGTTAAAACAAACCAATGGCAGTAGTCTACCCAGATTATTTACTCCATTAAAAGTAGTAAAACCACATCGTAAAATATCTTGTCTAGTTGAAGTCCTGCTTCTAAAATTCTAGTCAGAAAAAATAAAATAAACTTCATCTTTAAAATCTTTTTTTAATTTGAAACCAAAAAAGGTCTTCCTTCTCCACCATGATCCTATTTCTACATCAAAGTCCAAACAAACTGATGATTTATCTTTAAAAACCATGAGGAATGACAGTTCTCATAAAACACTATTCTTCCTTACTTGATTTCCAAATCAAATGAGCCAAACAGGAAAACCTCCTTAACCACTTGCTTATTCTATTATTTTTCAAATTGTTTATCTAAGTTGTGTTACAAGCAGGTTAGATTTGTAACAGAACACAAAACTAACTGTATTTAGCGCTATATTTGAAAAACAAGTAATCTGATTACAGTTAATGAATATATATTTTGAACAGTTATTATTGGTGGAAAAGTTTCCTCACAAAATGTAATCTCCATTACTAAAGCTAAAACCTAAAGAAATCATCACGGAACAGTTTTCTGTCCTTACCACTTAATTGTTTCAATACAAACTAAAAAGCGTTGTGAAAACTCCCACTCTTGAGAACATCTCAACACTTTATTCCATCCGAGCACGAATGTTTATGACAGACACGCCCTATTAATCCAAAACGGCCTTTAATGGAATCAATTGTGAACTTTCTTAATATGAATTGTAAATGCAACGTATGTTCTCTTTGGAACACAGATAGGACAGTAGCTGCTGAAACTGGTTAATAGCAGCTTTCTGTTAACCTAGATAAGCATGTTGTTCTTATATTTTTACTTCATGTTTACTCACAAAACAATATAACATTCTTCAGACTAGTAGTTAACTTTATATAAGTTGTACTCTCTCTGAACTCTTCAAAACATCTACTTCTCCTGTCTCTCTCTCTCTGTGCCCTGCAGCTGCTCCTGCACAAGCTTCTCTCATCAATCACCTCTCTGTGTTTAGCCAACAGTGTGCTTTTAGCCTCGTGCAGCACCTCTGTCATGTTTAAACATGAACAGATCCCTCCTGTTTACTTACTCTTTCTTCATAAACACAATTAATGTCTACTAATGATATTACAAAAACTACCTAATGACAAATAGCACAAAATTCACAATGCAATGCAATAGTAACAATCAGTTCTCAAAACTTCTCATGAAAACCACAATGTGACGTAACTGCATCCCACAAAAACTATGCTAAAAACGACAAATTATAGTTTCTTATTTATTTAAATATCTACGACACATTGATCTATTAATTTTCAATGTTATTTACTCCAACTTCAGACCAGTCGTTGATTATTCACTCCTTGTTTTAAATTCAACGCTCAGCAGCCATTTTTGAGGCATTTTGAGAAGAAGCACAAGCAGTCACACTTCGGGCTGCTGCTTCAGCAATTAGAGGAAAGCTGTGAAGAAAAAGGGGGGCTTTCTTTAACCCCTGGTGACCACGCATTTCTTTATCTGACTTTTCTCCCTTATCTATTAGTAATTATTCACAGAAAATTATTCCCCGTACAGTCTATCCAGCTTTATGGTGCGATGTTTATTTCAACAGATAACATAATCTCTTTATCGTCACGTTTGGCTAGATAGATTAACCCCACAGAACAAGAGAACGAGATTCCGGTCCTTTCAAAATGGTTATTTGAAATTTGCGTATCTCCCCTTGGATTCACTTATAATGCAACTGCAGCTCCTATGAGACTGGAAAGCATTATTCAATTTAGTTCTGGATGGAATCATTAGAAACCACTGAACGCCCCCGATGAGTTAGCCGTGTCGAGTTCTGAAAAAAACGCACGGGGCCTTTCACCTTCTTCTTACAGTCCTCATCGCTTCACATGGAGCTAACGAGTTAGTCGTGCGATTCTGAAAAATCCACGAGGTTCCTAACCGTTGCTTTATTAATCTTATTATTCTTAGTTAGTTACCTACCTATGCTAAAATATGCATTGCATTATCTTTAGCGTGAAGACTAGACACTGAGAAATATTCCTGACAACTCTAAAAAATTTGAATATAGCCAAATCACAGATTTTGAGTGTAACGGGTATCCGTGCTTACCTGATATTTTGTATAGAGCTCTGTTTTTAGTTGTCAGAAAGTATTTCGAGGTGTCACCCCTGTACAGCTTAGTCCGCTGGCTGCTGATGTGACTCCCGCTGAACGCCCACTCGTAAACGTCTGGGTCACCACTTTGTTGGAGTTTTGAGGTTTTTACAACCCCACTCGGCTCCGCGTGTCGTTTTGACGAGTCCTGCTTAAAATCATAACAGGAAGGAAATCAGACAGAGAACACCCAGATACCAGTTTAAACAATCTGTTTTAATTATCAAAGGTAATAATGCAATGCACTATAATACATTACAACACCATATAATACAATATACTAAAATCATATTGTAATGTTTTAAGAAGTAGCCGGCCACTTCTGCCCTGGTTCGCGTGCTGCGGAGATCCTTCCGGTCCTGACAGCATGTGAAGAGAGGCCGAACTCAGGAATCGACAGAATATATACCAGAAGACAGAAGGAAGGGGTGAGGTCAGCTGGTCATCTTTTCAGGTCCTCTCATTGGCAGACGCAAAATATGCTTTGTCACAAGTGACCCAGCGCTGGCCAGCAGAAAACCAAACGGGCCCATTTTACAACAAAACACATCTTATCACCCAAGTCATGTGTTTCTTTATGAAAGCCATACTTGTTGGGAATATAACAGTCATTATCCCATGACATCCTCATAACTAGCTCACCAACAACGCCTAACTGTCTTCATACCCCCCCCAATCATCTCTGAACTTTTATTCACCCGAAGTAAGCTCACCCTTAGTCTAAAAGGACCATTGTCTCTCTTAACTGTGTGACTAAATTCTCAAGGCCTGCAGGATGCGCATAATTAACTTAGAACGAATTTAGCCACTATATCTAATGGTTAACCAAGAAAAACACTCAAAAGGGTAATCTTTTCACTCAAAACAGAACTCACAAGTAATTCTGCATTTTACCCCTCAAAAATAGCCTAAAGCACCCTTTTGATGAAAAGGGTACAAGTGAAAGAAAAAGACTATTGCGCTAATCTACTTTAAAGAAAAAGGGAACATTGTTTCAGGAATCTATAAAAAACCTCTCTATATTTAAGAGGAAAAATGTATTTTGTTCCTTCAACTATTAATACACAGGAATGTATATACCCACACATATATTTAGGGATAACATGATGCAATACACCTCTTATATATTGGTGAGATTAAAATGAATATACCAAAAATATGCTGCATCACATCTTCTGCATAATTCTCTTCATAAACTTCCGCAGTAAGAACATGTTTTTATGAACCACACAGCTTCCGGTCTTCCTCGACCCGACCGGAGAAAAAGACGTGCTGCAGGCAGTAGAAATACATTGCTTTTAAAATCGTGCTGTGCAACACGAAAAAAAAGGGCAAATCGTGTTGGTGAACACGAATCAATAGATTAAAAATCGTGTTGGTGAACACGAAATGCCGTGAGACTGGGTTGTTGGCAAGGATGAAAGGCATTGCTGTTGTATTAACAGTGTGGTTATTTTAATTTTGTTTTCTCATAATGCCCAGTATGTTGTGTTGATCTTCACTTGCGTTCAAGCTATCTCCATAATTAATTTGTGTTTTCAAAGTGGATTTTTTAAGGGGTGCTGGCTCTGAGGAATGGAACCCAGGTGAAATGTTCTTATTAGGCCGTGTTGTTGGATCCAAGAAGTCATTGCTAGCCTCCCTTTGGTTTAGCAACATTTGTGGAGTATTTATATTGTCCTTAGCAGTGTAGAGGACTTGTGGTTTAATGTTTCTTTGTTCAATATAAGAGTTAATTCCATCTGAATGCCTTGTCTTTGAACTTTTCCCACTTAGGATGCTTCGTGTTTGCAACACATCTAATTTAGCTACATGTGCTGCAATATCCTCCTCCATCTGAAGTTGCTCCTTTCTCCTCCTTATTTGTTCCTCCTCCATCTGAAGTTTGCTCCTAATTCGTTCCTCCTCCATCTGAAGTGTGCTACTAATTCGTTCCTCCTCTTCCTCCAGTTCATGTTTGTCCTTTAATAGTTTATTTCTTGCCATTAAAGCTGCCAAGTCAGCCTCTGTTTTACGGCATGCAGACGGAGCAGTAGAAGTTGCAGACTTTTCCCCCAAAACAGAATTTTGTGATCGGGTTGCTCTTCTTCCAATTTCCACGTTTGACACACTCACTTGGTTGTACATCCTCTTGCATGTCATCTGTTGTTGGAATATCCAGCACAGCAGCAGTTATTGTGGTAAATCCTCTTGTGGCTCCTTTAACCACAGTTTAATGTCCCTCTGAAAGCTTTCACTGTATTCCAAGATACTGGCAAACCATTCCTTTTGTTTCTTCAGTTCATCCTCTGGGAGTAAAGGAATCAACATTTCATGTGAAATAATGGCTTTTTCACCCAGTTGAATTCATTTCTCTAAATGAGTTTGTACACGTGAGGCATTTCCCCTTTCTCTCATGTGTCCTTTTATTTCTGGTATGAGTGCTTTTATTTTGTTCACACTGGTTTTACGTTCCCGTTGAAGTTTTTCGATGTTATTTACCAATGCCTTCGCAGTGAGTGTGCGTTCTCTTAAGGTCTTGACACCTTCGCCTCATGGAGGTACTCCACCAAGTTTGTTCCAACCTGAGAAAGAAATAAAGAACAAAAGACAAGATAAATTAAACAAAGTAAAAGATTGTGCAAAAGCAAAGAGTAAGCAAGATTTGGCAGTGGCTGATACAATGCATATTCAGAAACAATGTTTTGAATTATTCTTGAGCCCAGGAATAACAGGCAGTCAGGCACATTCTTAACCACTTAAACTGGACCTGGGTTGGCTCTGTACTTTAGACCACTGTTTTCCATCTTCACCAAATCTCTTCGCCAAAAATAGCCGATCTAGCTGCCATGTTTGGCTAATGTCCCCGCCACCCCCCCAAGAATATGGATGCTGGGTTCAAGTGATTAAAAGAATAACATTTCCCTTTAGATATGCAGAGGGACTTACAGGCTTATGATCGATGAAGGCCAACTTAGACTCCTCGATAGTGTACCGGAACACTTTTCGGCCAACCCTGTAGACAGTTGGTGGAAGCAGTGTTGGTAACTGGCTCAGAGCAAGTTCCCCCAAACAATCTGTAGGAAGACAATTTTATAGGTATCAATATGTGGCATGGCATATCTGTGAATTGGTCATTTAGTAGCAAAATAAAGTCTGCTGTACAATATAACAATGTATTACCGGGTGTTAATCCATCAAGCGACGAGATAAGTTTCCCTTCCCGTCTCGCCAGGTGCAGGATCTTGTCTTTAAACAAAGGTAGCCAGGTTTCGAAGAGCTTAGGCGCAGCCTCTCCATGTAGGATCTGAAAGTCCTGTGCAATCTAAATGAAAAATTGAAAAAGAAAATTCAATGTGGCAGCTGACATACTGATAAAAGATTGTTATAAACAATGCATCCACATCATATGTAAACATATACTCCTTCCTAACTTACCATGCCTGGAGTGAATAGATGTGGGAACTCTTGGCGGATCCCTTGAATGTCCCACCCGTTTTCCCTTAAAGACTTGGCCCTGTTTGATAGTTTGCAGAAAGTACAGCAGTACAAGAATGTTAAAAGGATATCACAAAAAGCCCTGAGGGCAGTTGCAGACAGGTGCTCTTGTATGGCAGTTTTGGAGGGTAAGGAGTTGCACTTTCTTGATGGCTGGTGGTAGGGTGTTCCACATTTTGGTAGCATAATAGTAAAATGCATTCATCCCCATGTTTGTGCCGATTATGGGGGGGGGGGGGGAGAGTGTAATGGAGCTCCCACTGGTGTTGTGCCCTTTTATTTTGACAGGTACATGGCACTGGTCCCTTGAAAACCAGGCCCATTGCAAGTTGCTGTACTCTGTCCTCCCCTGAGCCATCCCACTATAGCATCATAATGAGCAGGGGTTAGGTCATAGGTGTGAGAGGTCTAGTAGTAGTTTGTTTTGAGAAGTCTGTAGTTCAGATTTGAATGACTTGAGGTGCTACAGTACCATGAGGTGCATGCATAGGCAAAATGACATTGAATGAGTGCTGCAGCTAGTGTCCTCAGTGCATTCCTACTGACCTGTACACTGCTGTATCCTGCATGTATTGCTCCACCTGGTTGAGGGGCTGCGAATTGTGTTTCAGCCATTCTTTACACTGTATGGCTCTTTCTTCCGATATGGTACATTCTATAAAAGTACACATAAGGATATTAACAATCTCAAATTATATGTCTGTATTGCTTAAACAAATTATTCAGTTCCAACGATTACCTGGTATGAATGTCCTACGAGTGCTAGCTTCACTACTTTGTGGTGGTGTCTGCTGCGTGCTCTGTGACCTGGCCGGTTTTCTCATCCTCTTTCTGACGTTCCGAAGCCTCTCTTCGAGGAATCCAGTGGCTGGGCGGCGGTTCCGTCCTGGGGTGAACCAGTATCCCTGTCAAGAAATGAAAGTCTTTGGTGAATAGAGATGAGGCACATTTTGATAGCGTGGCGACAACATGTGGCTGAGCCATCTAGAACAGGGTTTGTCTGTATGTCTGTCTGACAACACCGGGCATCAAACAGCACAGAAGTCCAGTACTGTGGTGCTGGGAGATGAGTTATATTGTGTTCAACTGACTGTTTTAGCATCAATTCCTCAATAAAATGTTAATTACTTACGAAGCCACTGCTTGAGTCCGACTCGTCCTTCAAGGAGGGAAACCCATGAATCAAAGCTGCAGCCAAGGCCTTTTTTGTCTCACTGGTAGGACTGCAAACACAGAAAAACTAAATTACCAGCAGAGTCAAATTAGATCTTAAGTATTTCTAAAACATGTGTTGCACCCCAGTATAATGGCTGTAGCATATTCTGCAGCTAATAGGCATCCTAATAAATTAAAAACACTACTGAACGTGTGTTTTTGTACATGTGTTGTGCATGTTTATGTTGGTGGTCTAGGTAAAGGTCAGACTTGAAAGTAGTGTCCCGTCTTATTCTTTTCCCCTGAAAGAAGATTCATATACCTTTTTCAAACTAACATAACATTCACTAAAAACAAGAAAAAAAACCCACTATTTTTAATTACCTCTCTCCAAACTTCTCCATGAGGTGAGACACCAAAATACGGACAAGGCACTTTCTTTGCGAAGGGATGATCACATCCTCATCAAGGCTCCCCAGGATCAGCTTGCCTTCAGTTGAGCCTGTGAGAATCTGGCGGATATCCTGAGAAAATTGCAAGAAGGGACAACATCACAGATATCGTTTATTACTCTTTAGTGTTGATTAAAGAAAAAAGTGAAACCCAAGTCTTAAAAAGTGGAGCTTACAAATTGTGGAATTATATGTAGTGTTTGAGGTATCATCGCTGGTACGACAGGTGCCGTTTGGTCCTCCATGGAGGGTGGAGTTGTGGCAGTTGGTTGGACATCAGGACTTGTAGGTGGCACAGCAGGTTCAATCTAAACAGAACCCAGGTTAATGTAACAAACAGTGACAGCCACCTAGAATTGCCGGATGAGCATCAGTAATGTAAATCAGTGTACCACACCAGCGGACTCAGAAGACTGCACACAGTATGCATGGTGTGAGAGATATGCACCACGCCAAAGTTTTCACCCGAGTGAATGAAAAATGCGACAAGTTTGGACCATGCAGATCTGCGGCAAATTGAAAAAGATATAAAACAAACATGTAACTTCTTAACTGACAGTGACTACTACTGTACATCGTCACCGTCGGGTGGAAACCGTGTATGTCCAAAATTGTTCCTTTTATAATTTTTAACATTTAAAAATTGTGAAATAGCCAATCGACAAGCTCTTGACATTGGGAGCTTGTAGATCTATTTGAACTACTTTTGTACAACACTATGACGAATTAGTACATTTACAAATATAAAAAACATAGTTTAAATATGGAGACACAAGGTTTCTGCCCAACAGCAACGATATGTAGACAGATTAAACAAAAAATACTTACTGTACAATTTATCACATCCATCCCAGTATTTACAGAAACATCCCAGTACTCCATCGCATGATCATCCCTGTAGTCCAAAGGCACCTTTTAAGCAGCATTTATAGCTAACCACTAAACAAATATGGCAGGAAAAAATGGACTTGACGAGTAAAAATGCTATTTACAAAGTGTCATACCTACTGTACACACACCTGGTGGCAGTAAGCTGATTTTCTAAAAAAGTCTATAGCGCAGTGAAATGTATAAACTGTCATCAGTCTCGCTGAATGACTTCACTGCATGTAGGGGATGGTGATCAAGCAGCTCTCTCACATCAACAGCTGCCAAAACTTGAGTGGGAATCACACTGTATGCAAAGAAATGCCTATCAAACCATTGTGTTTCCCACTTCTGTACAACAAGTTTTATTGTTGGTGTGTGTGATGTTTGGTCTAGTACTAAAATGGACTTTATGAGACCAAATTGGGGCTCCCCATCTGGGTCATAAGACAGGAATACAGTCATGCCTGCTCGATATGCAGTTCCCTTAAAGGTAACCAAGGCTGGTTCATACAATTCACTGAAAAGGGGAATGCCTGTTAGACCACTTTCGATGTCTTTAACTCCCTCAATGTTGGCCAGAAAGGTAGTGTGCCCTGGACCAACTTCTGTATTGTGGCTCAACACAGTTCCACACAGCAAATTATAGCACTGCGCTATCTGATGGCGAAAGGCCATGGTTTTGCAAATGTTTCGGAAGTTGCATGTTACATGGCTAACCCGTTTAAAAAAGTTGTGTTTCGCTTCGAATCTCATAGCCCAAAACTGAGTCAAGGGTCCGAGCTTTTGAATGGCTCTTGGGTAATGGAGCATGAAGTGGTGTTTTGGCAGCAAATGGTGAAGAGGATAGAGCTGCAGGAAGAGAGAGTGATGCTCTTCAAGGATTTTAGCTAAGTACAGTGTTGCTTCAACAGTAAGAGAAGGAGAGAAGATGAACTCCATACATAACAGTAACAGTAGGAGAAGTTTCCATTCCTTGCTATGCATGGGGACCAGGTCACCTATCATTGTCGGCAGCAACCTAAGTAGGCACCACATTTGAGCTGCTGATTGATGCATGGCGCCTTTAACCTTTTTTAGATCATCCTTACTAATTACAGAAGGTTTAGACCTCAGATGAGCTAAAAAAAGGGCTACCCGGTTGGTCATGTCATCTTGCCCTAGTTCATCCCATTCATCCTCAACTTCCTCATCTCCCTGTACAGGCTCATTTTCAGCAAGCTGTATGTCAACAGGCTGGGCTGGACCTTCAAGGGGATCATCGAGAGTATCACTTTGGTTTTCATGCTCCTTTAATAGGTGTCTTCTATAAGACCTTATAAAAGAAAATGTTCTACCACAACCAGTTTCACTACATTGGAAATATGTTGATGAATGGTTTACGTGATGTACTGCACGTAAATGTTGAAAGAGAGTCTTGGCATCCCCTGGAATTTGCCTTTTGCATTTAAAGCAAATATATGCCATCTGCTCACAAATTTGAACAAATCCTCAGAATGAATATGCGTGTGTGGGGGAGGGGTGTAGCCTCTCACATCTGCAGTGATCTAACTATACTTACAAGTCCTCTACATTTTTTGAGGAACTTAAGCCTGGGGCCAGCTTTTGGAATCAATTGGCTGATGGTCCCCTCGTCTAAAAGAAGAAAACTCTCCTCGTCAATTCCCTCGTCTGAAAAACAAAAAACAAGGACATCTATTTAAACCATGGAGAACAGCAAAAAATAAGAGGCTAATTACATGGAAGCTATTGGAATAAAAATGCATTTTCAGTAACATAAAATACAATGCAGTCAATGCCATTTCAAATAATTCCTTTACCTAGCTATACAGACCATCTGCTTGCTGTGAACGTAAAAAAAAACATGTTCTTACCTTTAAATCTATCAATAACGTCTGTCAACTGCCACTGTGTCAACGTGTCACACACAACATCGTCCATTGATCTGAGACAAAAAACACATAAAGAGCTTAATTAAAACAAAACATAAAATGTACATTTGCATGACTTCAACCTCACTTCTGGGGCTAATTTATTCAGTTGATGAGGCTACTAAAACTGACAAATGTCTGCTTCTCCTATTTATTTATTTGTATTACCTGTTGTATTTAGCACACATGAGCCCCACTTACTATGGTTATTAGCATTGTATTTTATCTGCAGACTTATGGTTATATCAAAGCCTTTATTTTTATATAGAGTGATACACTTTTGTGACTGCTAGAAACAGGTCAACCCACAATAGAGCAAGATTAGTTAACCAACTACGGACAGCAGCCACAGGAACTTTTGCAGTCACAAATTGCTGTGAAAAATTGAGAGACCAATGAAAGTTAAGTTACAGAGAACCTGCTTTTTTTTACACCAAACCTTATCAGTCCCCTTATCAGACAGAGAGTGCGACTACTGACACTGGCAGAGCGGCATCCGTCACGTAACATTAACTGCAGAGCGAAAACCACAGTGGCAGTCAGCTCCGCATGGCAGCTAGCTCCGCATGGCAGCTAGCTTGGCAGCTACTTTACGTGACGCAGCCGAATAACGGCACAACATTCCTTTGTAAAAGGGGCTGATATTACTGACATATATAAGCGCCTGGGGTAGCACACTTTCCGTTTAACTTTCCCAGGGTAATGCTACCGTCCTTTAGTTTTCAATCCTGATATCCTATATTTGAACCATCTCCCTAACTGGCAGTTACACAGACTAGCTAGTTAACGACGTTAGCTTTAGCATGTTTGTCGGCTCATTCGGCTTTTTAAGTGAGATAAAAAATAACACTAAATAACAAATTAACTATCAACGTTACCACAATATCGCTCATGGACTAGCAGTTGATGACATTTATTAACAGCTTCACAGTTAGATGACAATGTGTTCTGCTTACCTCCTCCAACTTTCGCCAACGGTCTTTATTGACTCAATGATCCTCTCTCGCGATGATGATGGTTAAGTTTACGGTTATGCCCAAATATCGCGAGTGCACACAGGATGCAGGGGAAACCCTTTCCCGCCAGATCGCGGTCAAAATCAAACCATGGCAGAGTTCTCTTAATACATCCATGGAAGTGTCCAAGAGCAGTCAATAATGTAGCATGCCTTATTGTTCAAGCCATGTTTGTTGTTTCACATCTTTACAACCGTGAACATTTAAAAGTAGATTGATTTTTGTCTCTGTTTACATTAGTTGGTATCATAGACTGTGGTTGGTATCCAGTTTATTGGTGGTTATACCGCCACCTTCTGCTCTGGAGTGGGAATCAGATATACCCTAATCCCTTTGTCTCAGTTTATCTCAACATGAATGAATCTAATACATGTGAAATGGTTGCGATTCATGCAAACCAATACCCAATACCATAGGCGGCGCCGGCGCGTGAGGCTCAGGTTTGGAAAGGCTTAATCACTTTTTTTACCTGACGCTGCCCGCCTCCGGCATCTATAGAAAAGAGATCAACTCAGTGTGCAGAGTTTAAATCTCTCAAGTCATATTACAGGATAAAGGAAATACAGTTTAAACTGCCGTATGCAGAGAAGACGCCGACGTGTCGCACTTATCATTCATATTACATCATCAATCAGATCATCGATCATATAATATTATAATATATCATATATTTCCTTATCTGAGTCAGCTTCTCCAGCCATATCTGGCCGTGCAACACTTACAGTGTCACATACTGTATGCAGAAGTATTATTTTAAGCAATACATTATGTTCACGAAACACTCGAGTCAAATGTAATTAAAGTCAGATCTGGTGAGAGAAACCCTGGCTTGATTTACCGAGTTGATAACCAGCGTCGTAGGACCGCTTAGCGAGATCTCGTTTGTTTGTTTGTTACTCAAACATATCCAGGGTATGTTGAACTGGCTTCGTAGTACAGGGCTAGCGGGTGGCTAGCAGCGCTAATGTCAAAGACACAGACATTATACATTAGCCTATATTTGTATTTTACCAGGATGCAGTGACACAAATATTTGGGAAGGCTTAGCCTTCCCTAGCCGCTACAGCACCCGCCGCCCCTGCCCTATACCATATAAATAACCCAGAATGAGTTAAACATTTCATAACCAAATGGTTGGGTAGACAAAAATATTTTGACCCAGTACTTGGGTTGCACAAAAATAACCCAATACCATATTAATAACCCAGAATGGGTTAAACATTTCATAACCCCATGGTTGGGTAGATGAAATAACCCACTGTTTTTTAGAGTGCATAGTCCATTTCAACACCTTCAACGTCAACATTTATTTGACTCCTTTTCTCCGTTAGATTATTCAAGCTTCCTCAGTGCATTCGTCTGATTGCAACACACTTAAAGATCGGAAGAAAATTCCTTCAAAGCATCACATTTCCACATGTCCACATCAACAGAGCAGCGCGACTTCCATGCGACAGAGCGGAGTTATATGGAGATACACAGCTGTGAATATGTGCACATTCAGCGGTAAGGCTACCTGGCTGTGATCCGCGTTGAATGCGGCTTCCAAAACTGCAGTCTCTATTAACAGCCAGTGCTTTCCGTGAATTATTTCCATATCTCCATTCTCATCCAATAGATCCTTGTTTGATGATGATCGCCTTACGCCTTGTGTGCTTGTTGTTTTTTTTGTTGACAAAATGTAGCGAGAGCAGGAAACAAACAAAGTCGCTGAGAGGCTGAGGCCGGGCCTGTTTGAAGTTGTATGACAAGCTAAAAAAGTACTTGCTGAGATCAAAAGCTCTGTTTTGTAGTTTAATGAAAAAACTCGGTGATCAGACATATACATTGTTATAATCAAAGAAATTGTAATCTTGCGGTCAACAAAAAAGTACAACGGCCCTGTGTCACCCTGTGACGAAGGTAACTTTGTCACTGATGGCTTCGGGCCTTGCATATGTGCACATGTTTATACAGTTTATATTATTTATTGATGTAGTGTTTATTGTATTTTATCTTGAAATGTGTTCCCCTTTCCCCATGTCTGGTGCCATTGATTGTGTGCACCTGGTGCTCTGTGGTGTCTCCTCCCCCCTCACCTGTGTCCTGTTGGGTTGATTGGGTTGGGCATTTAGACTCTGGGGTTTGGCTGTTTGGGAGATAGTGTGTGAGAGATCCTTGTGGCTGCAGGCTGTGGTCAGGGAGAAACAGCAGGATTGAGGCTGTGTGTCAAGTCTTCCTGACTTAATAAATGCCCACACCGGGTTGTATTTTGGACGTTCTGCCTCTGCCTCCTTGCTTGGTCTGGCCGCTCAATTGTCAGCTTCACACACCCTCTCTTCCACACACCCACACCTCACCCAGGTGAACAGGATTACAATGAGTGCCACCCATATCCATGTGACCCAAACCAATCAATCAATAGTGATCAAACAAATATCTTATATTAAAACATAAAGGATTACTAAACACGTTTCATGGCTCCTACAAGGAGGATGTGCAAAACAGACAAACTAATAAGGCTTTATTTAAACATTAAAGAATACTTTAAGTTAATGTCATCTTTTGAATAAGAAAAAAACGTTGGGTATCAACAGATAAATATTAAGTCTGACAAAGTAGGCTACTTCTAATATATTGCATAGTTTATTTTGGCACTTGACAATCACCTTCCCTGAATTTTACTCAGGTTCCCTCTTGGCTAGGGGTACAAAAGGGAAACGACACGACCAGATTGGATTTGGTATATGTTACCGGTGGTTTTATTTGTAACGGCAACTGAGTAAATGATGTACACAAACAGCTTGGCCCAACAACGGGTCAAGCTGTCACTATCTCACAAAAGGGTCTCCAAAAGAGAGTTGCCCAGTACTATACAAAAGGAAAGGAAATACCTCACTTCTAAAGTGGAAACAAAACAACAAAACGGGACTGTGGGAAAACAGAGCTGGTGCGGGTCTACAGGTGCTAATCACCTGGATCTACGTAATATACACATGGGAATGCTGGTCTACAGGTGCTAATCAACCTGGATCTAAGCAATATACACACACAAACCCTATACTAACACAGAACCCGATGACACGCTGCTAATCAGTGTGCTCGCCCAGAAACCCTACTGAATACACTGCTAATCAGTGTAGCTAACACAGAATACACACGGCTAAACAGTCTCAGAAGTCACAGAACGAAGGCAATATCACAAGGAGAGGCTTGAGGCGTCTGTCACACAATACAGAGCCTCCCGAATGGTATCCGTGCCCAGCCTTTATACTCCTCCCCCGGATGACGTGGCAGAAGCGGGCAGGGCTTGGGTGACGTCTGTCCAATCCCCGCGGATGTTGCGAGGTCGAGACGGCCACTGACAGCATAGGAACTGCACAGCTCATTTGCATACACACACACACACACAGAGTTAAGGGTACAAGGGAGCAGCGGCTGTAACAAACCCGTTCTACACCGCCCCCCCCGATACCGGGGGAAAAATGCGTCATCTGCAGGAAACAGCGTCTGAGGGCATCTTAATATTCAATAAACTATGAATGTTTTATATCCATGTAACGGGAAGAAGCTCAGATAACTGATCTTTTTTTTTTTTTTTTAAACCCACAAAGCTAACGCTCTGCCTCTGAATTAGCCACGAGCGGAAAAATGCTGCACAGAAACTCACTCATAACACCCTTATTACTTATCGTAGCTGCACGTCCAATAGGGTGTAACGGTTCACAAACATTTCGGTTCGGTACGTACCTCAGTTTGTAGGTCACGGTTCGGTAGGTTTTCGGTACAGCAGAAAAAATGATCACAAAACATAAATCATTTTTTGGGGTTTTTTAATTATTATTAAACTGTCAATAATGTATTCACTCAAATAAATACTAAATATGATAAAATAAACATTAAGGTGCAGCATTTCGAAGAACTGAAATAATCTGTATTTGAACTGTACTGTACTAAGCAGCCAGTTTGACATTATGACTTGCTTGTCATAGTATTTTCATTTTGTGTTAAGAAAAATGAACTTGTCCACATTGCTTGCCGAAAGGGCAGATCTGCTGGGACTAACAATGTCTCCACAGCAGGAGACATTGTTGGAGAACACCCTCTCGCTAGGGACAGAGGTAGCAGATACAGCCAGGTAGCGCTTTGCTAACATGGCAACATAAGGATATTTGGCGTTTGTAATAGCTTTGGCTCGGTCTGAACTTTTTGCGAGTGTTGGAGGCTTAAATGCTAGCGGGAGTTGGGTTTGCACTTCAGTCATTTTTTTTCTTTTGGTACCGGTGATATTCACGTTCGGGTGATGCCTTTTCAAATGAGTATGCAAGTTTGATGTATTGCCAGCCGCGTAACCAATTTTAGTTGAACAATGCCGACAAACAGCTTTGGTTCGGTCCACCTGTCTTTGTCCGTCATCCTTGTACGTAACTGCAAAACCAAAATGTTCCCAAACCGGAGACTTCAATGATGC